CAACACTTCCAGGGTTGGGGCTTCCACAGCTTCTCTGGGCAACCTGTTCCAGGGTCTCACCACCCCTGTAGGTGAGATTCCCAGTTCCTTGTCCCACTGGCCACGTGTGCAAACTGGAGCTGCCGCGGCAGCACAGGGAGCGTGATCCTCACGTTCTGGGTTGGTGGGGAAGGACTCAGGTCTCACCCCCTGCTGGGCAGAGGCTGCCCCTGGGCAGGGGGTCCTGCTGCCAGCTCAGCTGTGCTGGGCACTGTTGATTTTCCTGTCTCTGCTGCTCAGACAGCTGCAAGTTCCTCCACGACCGCTCCGACTACAAGCACGGCTGGCAGATCGAGCGGGAGCTGGACGAGGGCCGGTACGGAGTCAACGGTACAGCCCCCCTGCCCCACCTGCCTCTCCTCTCCCCCTGCCCCAGGGTGAGCTTGGTGCAGGGGTATTGAAGCACCAAGAGTCAAATGGGTCCTTTGCTGTCTCAAACTGCACGGGCCACAGGGTTGAATTCATTCCTGTTAGGCAGAGGGGGCTCTTCATTGCCAAGCTGTGGAGCTCCCTGCTGCAGGACAAGCTTAGGGCCAGCAACCACCCCAGCAAATCTGCTGCTTTCAGGTGGCTACTGGTTGCCCCTGAAGGATTCTTCCCTCTGGCTCTCAATAAAAGGACAGCACTGCTGTCTGTGGGTCCTGGCAGTGAGGTCTGGATCATCTCCTGCCTCAGATACCCAGTTGGTGGAACACTTTCCTGCTGTGTCACACCATTATTTCTCACTCCTGGTGTCTGTAGTTGCAGCCCAGGGCTCGTGAGCTGCTGTGCAGTTGGGAGGAGGAGGGTGTTGTATGTTCAGATGGAGCCAGAGAGTTCAGTGGCAGCTGGTTTGGAACAGAATCTAAAACACAGAAGAGGGGGCTGGAGGTTCTGTCTCTTTATAGCAGTGAGTGGGCGAGGTAGAAGAGAATTTGCTCTTGTGAGATGAACAACAAGCACACTGGCTCATTAGGCCTAATTATATCTCAGTCCCACATGTGTTGCTGACATCAACACCCAGATCTCTTATTGTTCCCAGCAGAGGTTCAGTCCCACCTGTCCTGCTCTCTGCATGGTTAATGTTTCTTGCCCACCACAGGGGCTGCTCTGGCTGCCTCTGCTCTTGCTCAGCCTATTTGACTTTCTGTTCTGCAGATGAGGAAAACTACGAGGTGAGCAGTGATGAGGAGGATATGCCTTTCAAATGCTTCATCTGCAGAAGTTCCTTCAAGAACCCCGTTGTCACCAAGTAAGTGGTTGTTTGGGCAGGAGGCCAAGTGTTTGCTGATGATCCAGGCTTCTGGTCCCTCTGTGTCTCACCCAGTACAAACACTGCCCACAGGCTGGAGGTGGAACCTGCTTGTTGTGTCCTGTGGCTTCTGGTTGGGTGGGGAGAGTCTCTGGTAACCAGGGGGTCTCATTACTCCATCTGGAGCATCTCCTTGGAAGAAATCTGAAACCTTTGTTGTCCAAGCACAGTTAATTGCCACAGATGCTGCCTCGTTACATCATCTTTCCCCTTCACCTCAGGGTTTTGTTGTCACCCTGTCACTCCTGGGCACTGACTGGCATCATGTGAGCAGAGAAACAGCAGAGTCGGGTGGCCACGAGCTTGGCAAGGCTGAGGCCCACCCTGCTACTCCCCCACCCAGCTGGCTGCCTTGCTGGGTGCCTGGAGGAGCTCCCAGGTGGCTCTGGGCCATCTCCACACTCGTGAAGCAAGGCTGAAACTCCCCCATGGGGACAAGCCTGCAGAGGAAGCTCTGCATTGCAGCTGGCTTTGGCATCCCCCCCAACGACCAGCAGTCAAACATTCCTAACTCCTGGACACAGTGGTTGTGTCTGGTGACTTGCAGTGGCACTTGTGTCTCGGTGCAGGTGCAGGCACTACTTCTGTGAGAGCTGTGCCCTCCAGCACTACCGCAAGTCCCAGCGCTGCTACGTCTGTGACAAGCAAACCAACGGAGTCTTCAACCCAGCAAAAGGTAACAGGCCCTGGGGGGAGCCTGGAGCAGCACAGGCACCAGCTCCTGAGGGGTCTTCTTGGTGTGGGGGCTGGAGCTCCCAGCTCTTGGTTGTCAGCAGCTTCCTTCAGTTCTGACACTGGATCCCCAGCCTGGGTGGCTCCATAGGTGCCACATGAGGGTCTGTGCTTGCCAAGCGGGGGAGCTTGGGGAGTGTGACCTGGTGAGGGCAGGGGAGAGTTGCTGTAGAAGCAGCAGCTGCTCTGATGGTCTTGATGACTGGTCAGTGACACTGAGAGATGAACACCTAAGAAGTACACAGAGCTCCTGGAGAGAGTCCAGAGTTTACAGAGATGATCCAAGGGCTGGAGCAGCTCTGGTCTGGAGCCAGGCTGGGAGAGTTGGGGTGTTCAGCCTGGAGAAGAGAAGGCTCCAGGGAGACCTTAGAGCACCTTCCAGTGCCTGAAGGGGCTCCAGGAAAGCTGGGGAGGGACTTTGGACAAGGGCAGGGAGGGATGCACTCAGCTAGGAGGGGTAGCTCTGAGCTGAGCCTTTGTGCAGGTTTGGTAGCTGCCCTGACTCTTGAGGAGCTGGGTGTTTACAGGCCCTGACTTTGGTCTGGGACAGCCCCTGCATTCAGAGCCTCATCCTGCGTGTGCCTGTTTTTCAGAGCTCATGGCAAAACTGGAAAAACACAAAGGGGAGGAAGAGGAGGAGGAAGAGCAGCAGCATTCAGACCACGGTCAGGATCCACAGTAGCAGAGCAGCCTTTTTTGTATCTAGTTGAATAAAGCTTTCATGGGAGACAAAACCTCAGCAGTTGCCTCGGCCCAGCAGCTGTGACCTGTGCCTGTGACCCACCTGCAGCTGCTGAAGTGTCTGTGCTGGGCTCCTTGTCTGCTGCTCCCTGGAGGCACAAGGCAGAACAGGTAAGGCCAGGGAAGTGGTGGCTGAGTCTGACCTGCTGCTCCCACCAGGACCCCAGGGGTGCCCCCCAGGTGCCACAGGGTGCCTGGGGAAAGTGTTTGTGCATTTGGTTATTTCCTAACATCTTTTTTTGACCAAGGTGCTGCTGTTTCACTCCTAACTTTGCCCTGATCCTACTTGCTTCCTGGTGCTGTCAGCATAAAACCCTCTGATTTAAGTCCATAAACTCTGAGCATGTAGCGAGCTGAAAGGAGGGAAAGGAATGAGAAATATTAACTTGCTTTAGGTTCATCCTTCACCCTAAACAAATGCTAACTCAGGGGAAAGCTGGAGTGCTGCAGTTCTGATTTCTGAGAGGTCAGTGTGTTCCTGTCTTTTCTGCCTGTCTCCTCATTCCTAGAAGGCATTAGAGGCTTAGAACTTCAGTGGGCCCCACCTCTTTGAATCATCCTGGGAAGCTCTCTCCAATTCATCCCTCGCTCCATCCCCGAGGCTTGTGCTTTGCCTTTCCTTGCTGTACACACCAGCAGTCCAGTCCCTGTCCATGCCTGTGGGAGAGGGATAAGGATTTTTGCACATTCCACCTTCAGAGGAAGTCTGGACAAACCAGGAAATTAACATCTAACAAAATTAAATCAGGAGCCAAACCTGCCCCCAGGGAAGAAGCAGAGGAGGGCCTGTCCTTTCTGCTGTAGCTTGTTCTTAGCAACACCCCTGAACTTTCCTGAAATGTATATAAAAAAAAACAACCCAAGAGATTGTTTGCAGCTTCTTGATTTAGTTGAAATACAGATTTGAACCATGAAGGCAGCTGCAACTGTGGGGAGCTGTGAGGAAGTAAGGAAATGAGAAGTCAGTGAGCAGAGCCAGCCTGTGCCACCATGTGCTCTGCTCCATCACCCTGCAGGAACAGCAGCCTTAAAAAAAACAACTTCAGAAATCTTTTATTTGTTTTGGCAAAAAAACCAACAAACACAACAAACAATCTAGAGTAACAAACTTTATCTGTGTTCAAGTAGTTTATAAACACAAGGGAGGACCTGTTGCCAGCACCACTACTCCCATCAGCCACACGTACAGGGCTGCATTTGCTGCTTCACTGGAGAGCAGAAACACCTCCAGCACCCCCAGTCCTTGAAAAGGTCCAACTAAAAGCCTTAAATACACCTCCAAAAACCAACTACCATGGAACTGGGAGAGCTGCCACAGCAGCAGGGCAGCCACACAGCCAGGAATCAGGGGGAGCCATGTGAGGAGGAAGCTTTTCCCTGTCAGGGAAGGCAGAACAGCAATGGGAAGGAGAGGCTTGAGGTCAATTCTATACATGATGTTCAAAGAAGTCATCAGCATGAAAGTCAACTGACTTTTTCTCTGTAAGTTGCTGAGAACACACTGGTGTGTTAAATGGTGTGAAAGCAGCCCAGCTTTCCCCAGGAGCTCTGCTGTGCCTGGGGATAAAGGAGCTGCTGACCCAGGCAGCTGTGGAGGAGAGGCTGGAAGGCCCTGTCTGCCCTGGAGCTCAGAGTGCTCAGCATCAAGTCAGAGAAACCCCTTCAAAAGTTCTGTCCTCCAGTGCTCAGAGGGATGCCCGATGCACCAGCTGCCTGGGACAGAGCCAGGTTGTCTCTGACCTCCCATTTTCTAGCACAAAGCAGGGACTACATTTCAGCACATAATCCATCTTTGCTTCCAGCCTCAGAAGGCACCTGGGGCAGCCCTGTGGTATGAGACCAGCTCAAGAGAACACCCAAAACTAAAGCTGCTGCCTCCCCTTAACTCTAAGGCACCCTTACAAGAAAGAACCCAGGAGGGCAGGGCCCTGCAGCCTTCAGCTGTGAGAGGAGGAAGCCAGTGACAGAGACTAAACAGACTCACTCAACCCATCTGAGTGATCTACCACTGCTGTGCTACAAGAACTGGGGCTCTGGGCACTGTACCATCTGTAATACTTCACAGTTCCTTGGGGTTGATCCTTTCCCAGCTCAGGTCTGACCATTTGTTTCCAGGCTACTTCTGAAGCAAACAGGCAGCTGAAGTTCCTTCCCAAGGACCTGTAAACTCTCTATGTAACATTCACCACCTTTTACAAATAGGACCAATAAATTACAATGTCCAGAAAGTTCCTCTGGAACCAGGTATAGTCCTTGTTTTTCTAGAATTCCCAGTCATCCACATCCAGCTGCTCCAGGTTTGACATCAGCCCAAAAATGCCACTGGGATCCTGGGGTTGTGTTCCTTCAAAATTGGTGATGGGGGTGACGGGGCGAAGGAGTTCCGGGAGCGCTTCTGAAGCGCGGCGCTTGATCTGGGGACACAGGAGAGAAGGGACACAGGAGGAGAAGAGACACAAGAGAGACACAGGAGAGGATTCAGCTCCTGAACTGCTTCCCCACAGTTGCCCATCAGGAGCAGCAGAACAACAAGGCTGGAGGCAGAATGGGAGAACCCAGCACTATCCCCTCTACCTGCACCCGCAGGGCTTTGTGACAGGAAAGGGCATTTGCACCCAGTCTTTTCAGCAGCAGCTGGGGGCTGTGGTGCTGGTGATCCCCTCAGGGAAGCCCCATCCTGACCCTCAGCTCAGAGCAAGGGGGTCTAATCACCTCAGGGACAGGAGAGCCTCTGGCTCTGCCCAGGCCAGGCTAGGGCTGCCCAACCTGCCACCAGCTGCCAGCTCAGGCCACCCCAGCCTGGTCTTGGGCAGGCCCAGGTCAGTGCTGCCTTGTCCCTGCACTTGATAGTTTGGGTGTGAAAAACTTGTGGCACACAGGACCAGATCTCTGTCCTCTGCTTTGGTAAGAGCATCTCCCAGGACAACAATGTGAGGATCAGCCAGCTGCACTGCAGTTACCAAACTCACTTAATCCTGGATCACAGAAAACTCATCAACTTGACATTCCCACCCTCAGGTTTAACAACCCAGCAAGACAACAACCACAGAAGAGCCACTGCTCCTTCTCTGAAGATTAAATGAGTTCCTTACCTGCTTGAAAAAGGGATGATTAAGCAGAGTGCCTGCACTTGGCCTGTAGAAGGGAGTTAAAACAAAGTCAGCACACAAGAAAATGGGTCAGGATTTAAAGTCAGGTAGTGGAAGAAAGATGAGGCTCCTTCCTGCCTCTCTACAAGGTTATCTGCCTTTTGTAACCAGGAGCACTATTTATTATGTCCACATGATGTTTTATACAAGCAGCTCCACCTTCTACTGCAAAATTAACCTACCTGCACAGCCCAACATTTGGTCAAGGGGAAGTTTCTGAGCTGTGTGGTGTGCTGAAGAAGTTTGTCATGGCTACAACCTTACCCTCACTACAGGGGAAAACACAGTTTTGATCATCATTATTTTCTGCTGGCTGAACAGCAGCCATTCACAGTGATGGAGACTGGGCAACCACAGTCACAGGGACCAGAAATTCCAGTTGTTCAGTTCATTCTCCTGCCAAGGAGCACCACTAGTCCCCCCAAAAATTACTGCAGAGTCATTCTTCAGGCTCCTACAGAAGTGCTCCAAGTGTTAACACTGCTGGTTTTACATCCTGGGACTGCCCTGCTCAATGTGTGGGGCACATCCTCAACACTCTGCTGCTGGAGAGAAAAATCTGAAGAACCTCTGCTGGTTGTCCTGGCTTAACCCGTCCCCGGGAAGGCTCAACCCAGCTGTACCTGAAGTCAGGGTTCCTCTGGAGGCACTGCTCTACAAAGTTATGGAAGTAGGTGGAGAAGGTCCGAAGATAAGGGTGCAGGGCTGGCTCCCCGTTGGCTGTTCTCACGTTGCTCACAGCCATGCTCTCACTCATCCCATAATTAGCACTTGGACGGGGGGTTTTCATAGTCAGCTCATCAGCACGAATTTGTCTAACAGGCAGGGAACAGTTCCATTCAGCTTTTCCAAGAGCATCTGGAAGAGAAGGGTGTTCTGGTTTGGCTTCATCCTGGCTCAAACCAGGACAAAGGGGCACATCATACACGGAGACTAGCTGAGATTTCCCACCCGGGTGGGCATGGCACCCTTCTGTCCTGAGAAGGGTGAGGAAGGAGCAGCTTTTGAAGCTCACCTGGGTGGAAGGCATGTCCTTAAATGGTACGTGTCCATTTGCCAGCTCACAGGCTGTTATCCCCACGCTGTAAATGTCAGATTTTGCATCATAACCCTGGAGATTCTAAGTGGAAAGAAAAATCAGCCTTGTGGACTCAGATGTAACTGCTCAGGCTCTACTCACAATTCCACATGCAAAACAGCAAATCCAAATGGTTACAGCAGAAATAGGACAACCCATAGACAGGCTGGTTTAAGTCTGGTAGTGGGTTTTCTTAAAACAAAGAGTTAAGGGCAATATTTAAGCAAAATCAGCTGGCTAGGGGGGACAGCATCTAGCTCAGGGTAACTGGCATCTCATGTACCACCTGCTAAAGGGAAAATCTGCAGAGGTACTTTCAAGAAAACTATTTAGTCAAGTAGATCAGATCAAATTCTACCCACTCGTCCTGTGCCCACCCCAAATCTGTTTCCTTTGGCCTCCCTCCTTCCTTTTCCTAATATTCATGCACCTTCCTCTGGAGGGAAAGACAATGTTGTAACATGGTCTTCTCAGCAATTGCCCCTTCCAACAGGAATACAGGTTTCCCCTTGCTAGGGGCCACTGGTTTTAAGGTTAAAAAGACAGGAAAAAAGGACAGAGATGATAATAAGTGACTTTGTGGCTTTCCTTGTGTCCCTCCCCTAAACCCCCCAAACGGGTCATAAAACTTTAGAATATTATATAGATACCACAGATCAGTAAAAACTAGCAGGTTTTTTTAGACACACCTGCTGCAAGACTTCAGGACTGAGCCAAGGCAGGACTTTGATGCTGTATTTGGGAAAGTCATGAACCACTTTGAGTCGCTGCCCATGGTTGATCATACTGAGGTTGCTCCTCAGGCCAGAGAGGTACACCTTCCCATCCACAGAGATCAGGATGTGGCTGGCTTTAACACTCCTGCAACAATGGAAAAACAATCAGGTTCTCTGGCCTCAAAGGAAGATATAGTGCAGAAGGGCACTGCAAAGGATTGAAGGTAGAGGAAGCTGAAGTTCTAGGAACACATCAGGACATGGAGCTCCTGGAGAGAGTCTAGAGGAGGCCACAGATATGATCCAAGGGCTGGAGCAGCTCTGCTGTAGTGATGAGCAGAGTGTTCTCAGAACTTCCAACAGAAGGAAAATGGATCTTTTAATACCTGTGTACATAGCCCATGTGGTGGATGTAGTCAAGTGCTTTCAGTACCCCCTGCAGGATGTATGCAATAGCCAGCTCACTCATCCCATCCATAAAATGGGTGCAGATCAAATCTTTTGCAGAACCTGAAAAGAAACAAAACACCCCTTCACTGGTCAGGAAAAAAAACACCCCAGCTACTCCACCTCTTCAACTTCATTTCACAGGATGTGATGGGCAGACAAAGGTATTTCACCCCAACCTACCATAGGCCATGAAGGATGTCACTACCCACAGCTCATTGTCAGCTATGAAGGTTGCTTTGTATGGCACAATGTTTGGGTGGTTGAAGAGCTTGGAAACGTGAAGTTCCCCCTCAAATTAAAGAGAAAAAGATATTTTGATTCCACTTAGTAAATGGAGACTTGTGAATACAGTCCTGAGAAGCACTGCTCTTGCTGTCTGCCCCCTCCTGCACTTGCATTCCAGGGTCAGTGCAGTGGTGTTACCTGCAGGAAGGTGACCATCTCGTTGGTGCAGGCCTCCAGGTTCACCCTCCTGACTGTCACATACTCTCCTGTGGGTTTGTACCTGGCCAGGTTCACAACCATCAAGTCTTCAAAGCCTCTGCCTGAAAGAAAAGGCATTAAAGCTTCAGCAACACATCTGGAACCACATACTTCCAGAAAACTCCTCCAACCCTTCACCCTTAAATCATCTTTACACTCATTTACTGAAAACTCTTTTTGGCCTTGTGAAAAAGAGTAATTGTTCCATCAGAGGCCACCTCCCTTGGCACGTGTCCCACCAAGAAGTCTTCCTAGGCAGCAACATGATCCTGGCTTTCAAGCTCAGAACTGAGGTAGAAATAAAATTATGAGGCCACAGCCCCACCAAGGACAAGGATGGATTTCAGGCTGACCTTGTACTTCACACTTGGTATTATTAACCCACCACTGACCTCTTTCAGTCAAAAGCTTCCAAGATTGGCATCTCATCAATCTCAAGTGATTTTAAAATCAAACAGAACAGGCACCTAATGTCCAAAAGAAGCAACCAACCAAGAAGAGGCCACCACATCTACAAAAATGGCTTTCTTTGCAAAGCAAAGCTCTGATCCTCCAGCCCCCTGGTGGTATTACCTATGATGGTGAGCAACTCATAGCAGCTGCTGTCAGGTAGGAAGCTGCTCATGGTGTCCCTTTTGGGGGAAGAAGCTATCGACTCGGAGCTCGCCTCATTTGTCTGAGGGGAAAAACAAAGTCAGGTCAAGAGGAAGAAAGGTCACGTGCCAGAAAAATAATCTGCTTCTTATGTCACACACCTCAAAAGAAGACAACAGCACTGAATGTAGAAGAGGTGGTTGCTGTTAAAATAATTTTAAATGGTTATTTCTCAACTGAAATCCAGGAGATGCCTCATTTCAGAAGATCCAGACATCTGTGTTTCAAAACACAACTGAAACAGGTGAGTTCTTAACTACCATATGCTCAAATTTCTTCAGGAATATTTGGATAAAGCCAATTAGTGTCCTCCAGGAGAGCTTTATAGTCACTGCCTTTCTCCCATTAACTACAAACTGTGCCACCATCCTGTTGCCTGAAAAAAGGGCCATCAGAAGAAGGCTGCTTTAGAGCATTTCTCA